CGTTTTTCAGTGTTGCTCGTTGTGAATCGATCTTGAGCCTTGTTAGGATGCTAACTTATGGATCGATGTCATCCACTCTTTCATACATTTTGTGTTTCATGGATTGAGCAGACTGCGCGAGAGAGAGACCGCATCGATAGGTCCGAATTTTGACGCAGTTTATCTCGATTATTTTTTTTAACTATTACTCTTTCGCGTGATGAACAGCAGACGGGGAAAGCCCGTAATCACGAAGACCTGCTGTTCAGCGATGGAAACCGGTAGCCTAAGACCCGGGACTTGGAGTGGCAAATCACATAAGGCCCCGATTGGTTAGGTGTGGTATTGAACCGAACGATAGCAAAGCTGCCTACCACCAAGGTTGGGTGGTGGTTGTGGGGCTCGAACCTCGGACCACAGGGTCCAAAGCACGCCGGTGACAGCGACTAAACCACTGTGCCACCATCACCATCGAATTTATTAATTGTGTCAATAAAAATTCGCTTAGCTAGCACATTTTTGCCATAGTGTTCACACTTTCTGTTTTCTTGTATGGCCACCCGTCCCGGGTTTCCCGTGCCTTCACGCAGACATGGATCAACGACGTACCTCAGAAACTGAGTTTTCCGATGTGGAAAAGACCACCACTCCCGGTCGGGATTTGACCAATTCCGGTCTGCTGGCCAATGTGACGGATAAGGATGACGCCAGTTCATTTTCTTCATTGCTCAGTATTGAATCGGTTGGATTGGAGCATAGTTTGTTGCAAGAATGCATCTCGTCTGCAATGCCCCGACCGAAAGTGACGGGCATGCTACGCAAACCGCAGCAAATATGGTCTCAGTTACGCACCGATTTTGGTTTGGACGAATCGTTACCGGAACAGGATGAGTCTCATCTGGCCCAATCTGGAGTACCTCAGTCTGAGGAAGAGGATGACCGATCTGGTCCCGTATCTGAAGCAGCCGTCTTGACGAGAATCAAATCGGATAAGAAAAACGGTCCCTTGTCCGCTCCACTAACTCAACGCTCTTCAGCACTCGACTCGTCCGGTGATTCGTCACGATGCTCATCTGTCCGACCGAAATCTGTTCCCGAATGTCGAACAGATCCAAATACCACCAATATGACCGGAAATGTCGGACGTGCTCCGAACACGACCCGGCTGGCCAAATCCTCCGGTACAGCTATCCATTTTTTAGACGATGGCTCCGACGGTGCACCCCCTCGGCATCCGTGTTCCTCCAGTCTAGCGACGAAGAGTTGGACCAGCCCCCGACTAGCTCCACCGCACCCGCACACTTCGCACGGGAACGACGAAAAAGGCACCGTGTCCGCATCGTCGGAAATCAGTCTGCCCAGCGGTGAGTTCGAGTTAGATACATACACACACATGCACTGCTCATGGAAGTTGGATGATCACATCTGTTCCTTAAAACATTTCTATTATCTGTTTAGTCATTAACTTCGCTGTATGCATTTGTCTCATACTTCTTTAGTTTATACTGTATATCAATCAAGCGTTGATTTAACAATAAAATCAATACTCGATTTATGTGATAGCGTGCTACTTCAGAAATTCCCAACTAAACGAATGGTTGTCTCAGCTGCGCTTTACACGCGTAGGATGCCCAACGCACTCGGTGGATCAATGATTATTCTGGTTAGGGTGTGCCTGAATCGGTTGGTAACCCTCAATGCTGACTGGTTGAAATCAGGGTTCTCCAGCTTCGTGCATTTAGCCTTCCGTGGTCTGTCAAGCCGGCTTTATTCTTGATAGAACACCTTTCATCCTATTGGGAATATCTTTACTATGAGAAGCGAATGAATATGGCATCCTTAATAACTGCCACGAGATATACACTCCTTGATGGCTTGACCCGAATACAGTCTTTTTCACTTGACAACACATTATGATTTGACCATCTCCGTGCTTCTTCCAGTCCGGCCCAGTCCTCCTAATTGGTTGTCGAACGACACCAATTGGGACCGTTCTCATGACATGCACGATAACCGGCCGTCACAATTGGAATTTGTGTTTTATACCACCATGATATGCACCAGCATATACGCTATTGCATGCAACGCTGTAATCCACTTTTAGTGATCACGCT